TTGTTCAGCGCCGCTTCATCCGGAGGGCTCGGCTTCGACGCTCCTCGAGTACACAGGATGCATTTAGCACATAGCATGTTCCACATATCATGTGCGTACGTACTTAGAAACATGGATATTAGCCTCATGCATTAGTAACTTGAATGGATGATGTGTTCCGGACCGTCGAAGATCTCACGGCCCCTAAACAACAGCTAGCTTTTGACATAGCTGATGGCATCTGGGAGGCACTCGAGGAACATGGTGTACACAGAACGATGGAATGTATTGCAATCGAAAAAGTGATTGCAACCGAGATTGCGGATGTGAGGGCAGACCCAGTATCTCCCGGCCTAACACGAGAGAAGGCACCCACAAATGATGCGGAGGTGACGGCAATGCAGAATCTGGTGTTGCAAACCATATTGGAGAAGAGACGTGCGCTGGGTGGTTACGTTGGATGGAAAAACAGGGCATCCTTCGAGAGGTACATGCTCACCAAATACTGCACTGCTGAGCAAGTTGCAGGTGAGGAGTAGAATGCCACGTGGTTTTCAAGTTGGTGCCGACCTGAATCAGTGTACAGAGTTCCTACTCCAATGCAATGAGAGATCCCGGTTTCTCAGGAGTTCTCATCCGCCTAGTGTCAACCAGTCTGCCATCTTCTGTTGTGAACGACTCTTTTCAGAATCAGCCATCTGCTGTTGCATGAGCCACACATGGTGCTCCTTTGCGATCTGTGCCCTAGCCACGCAGTCTCTTGCTCTTTTCCTTGTTGCCTCGATCATTCCTTGCAGCGTGCTATTCTCTGCTGTCATCACTTTGAGCCTAGCTTCCGACTCGACTCTCAGCTTCTCAGTGTCCGCACTTTTTTTCAGCGCGTCCAGCAATGCATCTTTCAAGAATTTCTTTTCTTGCAGCGCTGCATCTCGTTCTTCCTTTGCCATCACAAGCTGCTGTAAGATGTCTTCCCTCCATGATTCCATCCCGGTGCCCGACCTACCTGGGTCAAGCAAGGTTCCTCAAAGACCTTCGCTTCGACCTTTGTGTAACCTCCCCGCCCTCCTGCTGCCAGTAAAAGACGATTGGGTGACTCTTCTTCTCATACGAGGAGCTCAGGGAGCTCTGTAGCGGCTCGAGTAGGCGTCGTTTCGCATTCCGGGCGGGCTTTAGCTGTCTACAAAACCGCCGGCGTTCTACGGGTGGGATCCCAACCCTGTGAGGGCCTTCTCTGCCACCGTCCGTCGTGAATGGCTTAAAAAGGACCCGCTTCAGGTAGTTAGAATTCCCTTCTGCCATCCCACTGGCAGTTGTCTGTCACTCTGCTAGCGTGGCAGGAACTTGTCGCCAACGTGTCATGCTTGGCACTTGTGTATGACGTGGCAGGGGCAGGCCTCCAGAGTGTCACCTTCAAGAGCCCAAGATGACATGGCCCAGCCTCCAGCGGAGCAATCTCTTTCCAAAGTAGAGCGCCTCTGGTCATAAGTTTGTGCCCTGGAGGAAGACAAGCTTGGGCATCATGGAATTGGCGGAAAAGATTGCCACGTTTGCTGCCAAATACGACCAGTATCTCGGGGGATGCTGCTATGAGATGCCCAAGGACGAGGCACGTCTGGTGGAGCCTCTCGAAAAGGCCGCTAAGAAGTGGGATTGGAGAGCGCAAATGCTCTTGGGGCTTAACTATACAACAGGCGGTGGGGTGGTCCAGGACTATGCGCGCGCAGTGGAGCTCTTGAGGAAGGCCGCCGATGGGGGGTTTGCCATGACATTTAGGCGCCTCCAGGAAGCCGGCTACGCCAATGGCCCTGAGGACGAGGATGAGGTGTCCAAGGAGGCCGGCTTGAGGGGGATCTTCAAGTTTTCTGGGGCCACCAGTTGGTGGCTAGATTGGTGGTTAAATCAGGATTCGCGCTCCTTTGAAGACAAGGACGAGGAGGACTATGAGGGATTCATCCTGGTGGAGTACGAAGTGTCGCGGTGCTTCGCCTGGGCCGAGTATGAACTGGCACTGTGCTACCTCAGAGGCACCGAGGTGCCCAAGGATGAGGCGGATTACAGACTAGGACTGTGCTACCTCAAAAGCATCGGGGTAGCCGAGAACAAGGCGCGCGCTGCAGAGCTCTTTGCAAAGGCAGCCGACCAGGGGTACGTCCTGGCACAGTACAGACTGGGACTGTGCTACCTCAGAGGCATAGGGGTGGCCAAGGACAAGGCGCGCGCAGCGGAGCTCTTTAGGAAGGCCGCAGCCGACAACAAGTACTCTCTGGCAGAGCTGAAACTGATAGGACAAGCGTTGCTCAAAGAATCCACTGCATAGGTCCAGGAGGCATGACCTCTGTTGAGTTCCTCTGGTCAATAGGATTGGACAAATCCCAGACATACATTGTCGTGCGGGCCGCTGGCCTTCCTCCTTCATCACACAAGACAGCGAAAGCACCGTTTTTTGACGCGTGCATGGACGGCACAGATGCATGGCGTACTTCTTGGCCTTTGCAAGGTCTCCGCGATAGTAGGTGATGATGCTGCCATCTCTGTAAGCTATCCATGACCCCTCTATTGGTAGGGCGCATGTAAATTCATGGGGGACTTCCAGTAATCAGGCATAGTCAGCAGGGGATAGCTGCTGCTGCGTGTGCAAATCCAGTGTGAGCGCCACGTTTGTGTCTCGAACTATGGAGTTGTTGGAAGCAGCTGCCAATAGGTACGCACGCATCCTGGCGAGCAGCCACGCAGAGACACCCATGTCCTCTAGAGAGTCATGAGTCTTGTAATGTACCAAAGAACGCATCACTGCACCCTACAGCTCAAGACTTGGCAGGACAAGCACTCATCCTCAGCTCTACTCTGCCTCAAGGCTGCCTCTTTTTCATGTTTGAGCTTCTCATTCTCACGTTTCAGATTCTCAATCACGTTTTGCAGCTCTGAAGCACGTTCGCGGTCCTCAAGTAGCCTCTCAACGAGTCTTGAAAGCAAAGGCTTCTGGCACCCCTTTGAAGGAGGCATGCCTCTGGTAATAATGCGAGACATTTAGCGGACACAATCTGCATCCTCTGGTGACAAACCTCAGCGCAGTGGCAGAACGTCGTGTGCGTTCAATGTCGGATAAAAGTAAGGTCGACTGACTAACAGCCTGCACAATGTTCATGGAGCAGAAGAGAAACCAGAAACCTCACATCGTGGACGTGCGCATCAAGGTCTGGGAAGAAACCAAAGGCATTTCAGAAAGGCTCGCACGCCCGCCAAAGTGCGAAAAGCACATCCTCCGCCCTGACCAATCACCGCCGCAAAGGCACGATGATACGGAAATTAGAGTATCAAAAGAGGACACCATAGTGGCTGCACGCCGGTTGCAGGAGGAAGGATACAGACCCATGGTCCTGAACCTCGCAGACGACTGTTTCCCGGGAGGCTGCGTGGCAACGGGCTCTGGTGCTCAGGAGGAGTCTCTATTTCGGCGGACAAATTATTGCTCGAGTCTACACAATGGCCGTCTGTATCCAATAGCTGCCAACGAGGCAATCTATTCCCCAGGCATCACCGTGTTTAGGGCGAGTGAGGCAGCCGAGTACGCATTCCTCGAGCGACCATTCAAGCTGGACTTCATTGCATGCCCTGGTTTGAAGTACCCGCAGCTCGAATATCCGTCAGGAGATGGTAGAGGGGAATGTCATTTGTCTGAAGCCGACAGAAGGATCCTTGAGAACAAGGTACGCCTAATACTCCAGGTGGGAGTGGACAAGGGGCACGACTCTCTGGTCTTGGGTGCACTTGGTTGCGGTGCCTGGCATAACCCACCCGCGGACGTTGCTGCAGTGTTTCGAAAAGTTCTCTCGGAACACAGAGGGGTTTTCAAGGTGATTGTCTTTGCAATCCTCTCCGTGACAGAGTTTGACGGTAACAATTACCTGATCTTCAGAGACACCTTTTCAGCGGGTATTTGAGGCGGCTTATGTCGCTCCATCAAAGGTGAGCTTCTATGGGCTCTGAAATGCACCACACGTGATCCAAGCACTCGCGGGCACCGAATAGCATTGAAAGAGCATGGCCCCTTTCGTAGCCACGCACCTCCATGCACCGTCCGTTTTGTTGCCAAAGATGATTGCGTTCACGGAATCTGAGGACAGGTCTACCGAGTCCCCATTGTTTTGGATCCTGATGGTAGTCTGAGGGGCAAGCTTTGCACTGGTGACGGAGGCAGCGGTGAGGTTATCAGGACCGATGCATCCGGCAGGAATTGGGATCCGGATCTTGGACCAGCTGCTCCCGTTGTCCCCGAGATCCTGTCCCACAAATACATATGTGTCTCCAGGATTGGCCGTGCTGCTCTCCGACCCCGGTGCGAACCCCAGGTAGCTCAAGGGGCCTCCAATCGTGATGCCAAAGTAATCACCCACCTCTCTCCCAACTGTATTGTTTTCCAACAGTGGATTCGGGGACGGATGGGACACATCGACATTTGCAATCAGATTCTTTGTAGGCAGCACGGATTGGAACGTACTGCCTATCCCGTCTTCCGGGGCATCTTCATACTGATTGAGAAATTGATTGTAATCTGACATCAAAGGGCGGGCTCCAGCCCTTGTAACGGGTCACTCTTTTTGACAAGCTTTCTGAACGATTGCGCCGGTCAGAGCGCTTCCTTTGGTTCTTTGCCCAGCAGGTAATAAGCTGCTCCTCCCAACCCCAAGAAGGCTGCTGCTGCCACAATGGGCGCACGCGTTCTGTCCCTGGGACCCTCAGCCGTTACGTGCAGCACTTCCTGGGAAGGTGAGGGGAGGGAACTGCTTTGCACCCCCTGTCTCTTCTTGGGTTCTCGCGTCCAAGTTCTGCCGAGTTGAGTGACCTCAAACATGATGCTGTGATCCAAGCCGTCAGGCAAGTACGGCAAGCCCTGGTCATTCGTGAGAGAGACTGTGAGCCTGTCCAACTTGGTTGGCTCAAAGTAGTTTGTGAGCTTGTTGCACTGATCCACGTCATGGTACTTGATCTGCCCAACGTTTACATCGAGGGGGATGCGGGCAACAATGTTGCGAAAGCCCATCCTTCCGCCCTGACGGAAGATGACCTGCTTCGTGGCGTTCCGTGGAAGCTCCTCGATGGAAATGTCGCAGAAGAGGCTCCCTGAAAGGTTCACGTGCCGCTGCCCCGTCTGTACTAACGCAAAGGGGGAATCCTCGCCCGCGAAGCCAAGGATGTTGGCCAGGCTGGCAGAAGCGTTGGGACCACTTTGGAAGAGGAGCCGAAAGGGTACAGCGGCATCGCCGTTGGCCGTGATGGACAGCTTGCTCGTGAGTGAATTGATTTCTGCCACGTAGGTGTTGGTCCAAGGTCCTCCAGAGAAACCGGAATTCAGAAGAGAGATTAATGTCTTACTCGAGACGTTACCCGTGTCCAACCGTATGCTGAACATGCTTGGGTTTCCCTGTTCTTGAAAATCGATGAAGCAACCCTGGTCGTTGATGATTGGTTGGGACTTTGGGAAGGCGCACTGGATGAGAGTGATGCCCACGACGTCCTTGATGACTTCTGGGAGCGTGATCTGGTAGGAGCTAGCACTCGGGTAAAGTGCCACATTTCGGTTGGAAGAGTCTATCAGCAAGTGGCTCTTGAAGAGCTTGTGCGCCATTGAGAATTATGAAGAACTTATGCTTGGTAGCCCAGTGTTACCGGCGTTTGGAAGTACGAATTCAAGATCTGAAACTCATCAACGGTCCAGGGTGAGGGCGGATTGAGGAGGAGTGTCACTCCATTGGCCTTGAAATTGGCAACCGAATCCGTGCTTCCTTCAAACTCTTTGAAGCTGAACGGAGTGATGTCTGTTGAACAAGGTGCATCGTTGAGCAAGGTGATATCAAACCACTGCATCAACACTGAGCCATCCGATGCAATCGAAATGCCTAGAAAAGCCACAGCACCGGTACTGTTGTGCGCCAAAGTGTACCTGAGACCGAGCGTAGTTCCAGCAGCAGCACAAAAGCCCAGTGCGCTGTTGACTGCATCTGTTGCGTTGCCAAAGACCATGATGATACATTCTTAGACATTTTTTGATTTGAATAGGCGTTCGAAATGGGTTTCACACACGCGCCTGTCGGAAAAACGAGGATAACTTGCAATTTTGCTGGTGCCTTCGTCGGGGTCACCCATGATGACGTCTAGGTCGAGGCAGTTGGAGTTTATATATCCGGCAAGAAAGCCTAGCATGACCGGATATACCTCCAGCTTGGAGTCATTCGGAAGTGGCGCGTTCACATGGTTCTCATGTACAGATGTGGCTAGGTCTATGGAGTAGGATGGCAATCGGCCTTGTTGGTAATCTGTGATGTATTGGAGATCATTGCGCATGCGCTCTGCAACCTCTGGTTTCTCGAATGCTACAACGGAGCTCATGGGAACAGAATCCAGCAAGTGCGTGCTTCCATAGAATCTCGAGTTGCACTTGATGGTGTATACCCACTGGTCCTCCTTTAGCTGGGAGGTGCAGCAGCCCCTTCTGTCGAAACTTCTTCTGCAAACACTATGCATCTTCCACCAGGTGCGAGGCAGCACACCACAGCGCAACATCATGCTGGTGTCGGACAAAAAATCCTGTTCTGAAGGTGTTGCCTCCCAGTCTTGCAGAAAGCATTGGACTGAGTATCATCTGGTCGTTTTCCGAGCACGCATGATTATCACTCGGAAGTGACAATGGACGAACGCTTGGCTTCCATCCGAGAGCGCTGCGTTCCTATCAGTCCAACGGGGGAACCCAGGCGCCCACTCGCAATCGACCTATATTGCGGTGGCAGTGGAGTTAGCATGGGGCTTTTCATGGCTGGTTTCGATGTGATCGGATGTGACATACAACCGCAGCCCGAATACCCATTCCCTTTTATCCAGATGTCTGCTTTGGATGCAGATCTCACACAAGCAGACTTTGTTTGGTCGTCACCGCCTTGCCAAGCCCACACGGGAATCATCCCTTCTGCACAACGTGAGCGGTACGGTCATCTTTGGAACCACGTAAATCTCATTCCCCCGACGCGTGAGAAGCTCCGTGCTAGTGGCAAGCTCTATGTTATCGAAAACGTGCATGGCGCAATCAATGAGCTCGACAACCCCACGATGCTGTGTGGCACCATGTTCACGAAACTGAAGGTATTTCGACACAGACTCTTCGAGACAAACTTTGGCCTTGAGGTGATGGACCGCAAGTGCGACCACAATGGGAAATCACATGGAGACAGATCACCAAAAGCAAGTCGCGTGAGGTCTGTGCCTGAAGGTCAAAGGCTACCGTCGGAAGGCGAAAGGCTGCCCATTCTTCAAATCTTTATTGGAACATCCGAGAATAAATGGCGAAAGAAGCTTCAAGTGAGAAAGAGTGGGAAGAGCGCCGGGACTACAGACTTATACTATTTTTCACCTACGGGTGTGAAATACAGGTCCATTGGAGAGATCGAGCGGGACTTGAAGCATACGGTCGAGGTCATAGAAGATGGTCAACCTCCCAAGACAAACGCACGGCCTGCAGCCTGTGGCCCGGCGGCCACGGCCACGCCTCCGGCCACGACCGCACAAACATTGGACGGATTTTTTCCCGTTTATGGTCTGCCAGGCAAGAAGCGTGGGACCATTGCCGAGTGGTCTGATGCTATGCAGATCGATTGGCTGTCATCCGGCAAGAGCATTGCCCAAGCAATACCCCCACCCTATGCAGAACTCGTTGGTCGACAGGCGCTGGCTAAGCTCGGCTTTAGCCTCTACTATGACCCGGTCTCCTACTGATTACTCTTCAACGCCTTCGATGTTTTCGGAAGCAGTTGTAAAAGCCTCCATCTCGTTTGTCAGCTGCTGGCTCCCAGCCTGCATAACTCCACCCACCACCCAAGATGGTCCGACAGGCCTGTGGGCCTTCGGTGTCCGCATCGGACCTCCTCTTAGGGAAAAAGCGCATCCCCTTCCTGAGCGGTATCACATCACGCTCGGTACCATCTACATCTATGAAGCCTTCGCGGCGGTTGAGGAGAACGATGAGTGAGAGCACGATCAGCGCAATAACACACATAGTGAGCAATGCATCCATACAGTCACGCACAGTTATTACCATATGCGCCCAAAATATTGCCTCCGTGATGTAATGGGGACAACAAGAAAAGCATAAAATGGCAATAATACCAGAGTAAACTGGCTATCCAGTGGCCGCCAAGCACCTTACGATGCCTGGTACCGCTGAATACTTGTCCGCTTTTGGGTAATGATGCAAGGAGCGTTGCTGTGTCCAAGCAATGCCAAAGACCTCCAGCCCAAATCCAAGCGACGCTGGTACACTGCACAGTGTGCAATCGCGCTTCAGGGAAGCTCGAAGATGGGCTCTTTGATGGAGGTCTCTATGCCGTGATTCAACGGGGCACGCCTAGACCGCTCCTTGCTACCCTTGGGAGCTGGTGATGCTTATGGGTCAGCATACTGTACGCCTAGGGAGTTTCAGCAGGATTTAAACGCGCTGTGCGTTTGGAGCGTTACATGCACCCCACGACACTTTGGACGAAAACTGTTATAATGTAACGGCACGACTGCGCACCGACTTCTGGCTGCGCGCCAAACTCGCGGCCGCGCATCGTCCGTTATTATACGCTATCGACTTATTTGATATATCGAATCACTACACGACACGTGTCTGGGTTACTGTTCCACCGCGTGACCGTCCGATAAGACCCACGTGCACCGCGTGCGAGGGAACCGTCCGATAAGCTTTCGAGACTAAGCTTATGGCCGGCCGAGCACCGAAGCTTCTAGGCTGACACGTCGCGCTGCAGACTCAGACTCTTATGCGAAGCTTCTAGATATAAGATC